GAAGTTGTGGCTCCAGTGCGTTCCCAGCAGAAAAAGCTCCCGGCCCCTGAAGATCCACCCAGCTAGCTGGGTGAAAGTGTCCGAAGCACCAGAGCTGATCAGCTTGTAGGGTTTAGGGTTTAGGGTTTAGGGTTTAGGGTTTAGGGTTTAGGGTTTAGGGTTTTAGGGTTTAGGGTTTAGGGTTTAGGTGCTTGCAGGTGTGCCCGCCTTGACGCCCTTTTGGGGTTTGCCGTGTGTGCGTGTCTTTGCTTTGGGGGGGGGGGGGGGGGGGGGGGGGGGGGGGGGCGAGGCCCCCCAGGGGGGGCGAGGCCCCCTAGGGTTTTTTGGTGCTTAGGCGCCTTTAGGCATTCCCTAAACCCTGAACCCTAAACCCTAAACCCCAAACCCTAAACCCTAAACCCCTGCTAACACAGGCCGTTCTGTATTTCCCTAGGTATCATAGCCCTCATGAGCCCCTTCTTTCTGCACCGAGCATCAGGATCGAGGGCACTAGGGTGAAGGGTTTGGGTCTAGGGACCCTGAACCCTAAACCCTAAACCCTAAACCCTAAACCCTAACCCCTAGGAGTTGGAGCGCTTGCCGCGGCATAGGCTCGGCAGAAAACCCTCCCCCAAGCGGGACAGTCGCAAGGCCTAGGGTTTATGGCAACCCAGGCCAAGCTGCCAGACCAGCTCTCAGAAAGGGAGTCTTGGGGTTTAGGGTTTAGGGTTCAGAGTTTAGGGTTTAGGGTTTAGGGTTTAGGATAAAAGGTTTAGGGTTTAGGATAAAAGGTTTAGGGTTTAGGGTTTAGGGTTCACGAAGAGGACCACAATTCAGAGATTTGCCCACCCAATGCTGTCGGTCAGACAGCTGCGCCGGCATGGCGCGTCGCTGGGGTGGTGGGTTGGGCGGTAGACCCTAAGCCCTATCAACTCTGCACCCCGAAGTCCTACACCCTAAATTCTAAACTCTATATAAATGGTCTAAGGCCTTAACCCTAGACCTCAAATTCCAAACCGCCTCAAGCCTGAACCCTGAAGCGCTTAAACCCTGAACACCAAACCGCCTAAACCCTAAACCCTACACCATACACCATAAACCGCCTACCCGGAACCGCCTAAACCCCAAACCCTGAACCGCCTAGACCCTAAACCCTAAACTTCAAACCCTAAACCCTCAACCCTAATCCCTTCCCCCTAATACTAAAACCCCTCCCCCCCCCCTCCCTAATTCTGAAATTCGCCTGGGCCCGAAAAATATTTAAAATTAGGGGGGGTCTAAATCCTAAAACCTGAATTCCGAAACCCCTAATGGCTCAACTCAAGGGCGAAGGCCCTGAACCCTACCCCCCTGAATCCCAAACAGGTTTAGTATTGGGCTGGGTGCCGGCAGGGCCCAAAAATAATATTTAAATTTAGGGGGGGTTTTAGTATTAGGGGGAAGGGATTAATTCCTGAACCCTGAACCGCCTAAACCCTGAAGCCTAAAACCTAAACCCTGAACCCGCCATCTCAGCGAGTTTTACTGATCGGACCCAGGCTCCCAGCTAGAAGCCCGCTTTTGGAACGCATGCGCGTTTTGGATAGATACATTGCGGTTTAGGGGTTTGGGGTTGAGGGTTGAGGGTTTAGGGTTTAGGGTTTAGGGTTTGTTGTGGTTTGGGGCTTTCGGATCGAAAGGTCATGGCCTTGCTAACTCAAAAGGCACTGAAGACGCGTGTGAGATTGAGGCGGTTGAGGGTCGGAGAGTGGGGCTACTCGGGCTCAGGATTGCCAGCGCGGAGTTTTTTCCGACTTGTTTACCCAGAGGGCCCACTTGTTTGTGATTTAAGAGATAAAGTTGCTGCATTTAGTTTAGATGAACCAAAAATTGGTAATCCCAGAACATTGTTATTATGAATTTGAGTATTTTGGATGAAACATTTGAATTTGAAATGCCATGATGGTGGGCTAGGTGCTCACAAAGCCAGCTAGCAGGGTCTGAAAGCCATGGTGATTCGACGGGTGGTAGTTCGACTTCGACACCTAACCTCAAGGGTTTCCCGGGTTTCCCTACTACCCCCCCTCTATACCACCCCCCCTAGGTTCCCAGCCTGAATTCTGGGGGAACCAGGGGGGGGGGTAGTATGGAACGGGGTAGTCGGGGAAGGAACCCGCGGGCACCTAGCCGGAGTCCTGGTTGCGTCTGCTTCTCTTGCGGACGCCGCTAAGCGACTCAGCTTGACAGTGGCTTTGCGAAGGATCATCTGCCATTTGGCGCGCAGGCGTGTCTCAGCCAGATTCTGGGGCAGGCGCCCAACGTTCGCCCATTGCTCCTCAACGCGGCTAGTGCAAAAAACAAGGGCTCCAAGAACAGAAAACTCCTAGCACTTGCCCCTTACAAGCGGAAGTACAAGTGCATGATGGTTGCCTTTCTTACTCTAGACCTTAGGGTCTAGGGCACTATTCCTAAGAACCAGTTTCTAAGAAAAGGCAGAAAGCATGAAGTTTGCTACGGTTCCAAGTCCCGAGATATGTATGGGTACTGCCAGGAACCGGCTTTCGGTGTTCATAACTCGCCGTAGTTTTATTCCCCGTCGTAGAAGGGAGTTAATGGATCTTCAAACCCTAACCCTAAAAACCTCCCTAACACCTTGGGTTTAGGGTCAGGGTTTAGGGTTTAAGGTTTGGGGTTTAGGGTTTAGGGTTTGGGGTTTGGGGTTAAGGGTTTAGGGTTTAGGGTTTCGAAGACAAACACCTTAGGTCTGGGGTCTAGGGAGGCCCCCACAGACCCCGAGACACGCCCATGTACAGAGACTATGGTGGGCTGTGCCTCGCCATGCCCACTGGAGCCCCTGTCACTTTTCATGAAGCAAGGCAGGCCCTATATTGCCTACAGCATACACTCCCTCAACACCCCTAAACCCTAAACCCTAAACTGCCCCCGTCCCTAACAACAAGGCCCTAGACCCCAAACCCCCACAGCCCGAACCTTCCGAAGGCGTACCTAGGCCCCGCTTCAACGCACGAGTTCGTAGTCGGGAATCTTGGGTTTAGGGTTTAGGGTTTAGGGTTTAGGGTTTAGGGTTTAGGGTTTAGGGTTTAGGGTTTAGGGTTTAGGGTTTAGGAGCCCTCTGGGGGCTGCATGGGTCGTTCTCAAGATTGGGGGTCCCTTTTTTTTGGCTCCTGATTACAAGGGTGACGTAGTATCAAGGGAACCCAATAAGGGACACAATTTTAAAGAAATATAGCGTTTAAGGGTTTTTGGGTGGCACAAAAAAGGTTCAGTAAACCCTAAACCCTAAGCCCTAAGCCCTAAGCCCTAAGCCCTAGACCCTAAACCCCAACCCTAAATCCTAAACCCTAAACCCTAAACCCTAAATGCCTCCTTCCGGGCTTCTCCTGCAAGGAGCTAGGCCAAGCTTCAAGTGAGGCAGAGGCTCATACCCTCTAAGGGCAGTTACATGGTCCCTTGACATGGGCCCCTGATTAGGGTTTAGGGTTTAGGGTTTAGGGTGTAGGGTTTAGGGTGATATACCCTGGAAGACCCAAGGGCCCATACTTCAGAACCCCTTAAAGGAGGTAAGGGACCATATTAAGGGCCCATGAAACGACATTAAGATACCCTAAGCCCTAAACCCTAAACACTACACCCTAAAGCCTTTAAGGGAGGAAGGGCACCATATCAAGGGCCCATGAAACGACCCTTAGATACCCTCACCGCATCGCTTGCCTCTCTTTGCAGAGGCTAGACATGGCTCCAGAAGCGCAGCAGCATCAAAACAGGGGTTGGGGTTTAGGGTTTAGGGTTTAGGGTTTAGGGTTTAGGGTTTAGGGTTTGGGGTTTGGGGTTTGGGGTTTGGGGTTTGGGGTTTGGGGTTTAGGGTTTAGGGGCAATCTTCCCTTAGGAATGCCTGTACTCCTTGCACGAGTTGTGGGCCTTAATCGTATACCCCTCAACGAGAACACCTGAATCCCTAAACCCCAAACCTGTTCTGACTTCAGTTTCGGGTTACTTGGTTTAGGTTAAACCCTGAACCCTAAACCCTGTGGGGTTCTGCTTGTTGGTTCGGGGCTTCGAGTCTTGTGTTTGAGCTGGAATTCAGAAACCTTGTTTGGAGCCTATCCTTTCGAGTGAGGGCGCAGTGAGCCCTGTTCGGCCCTCATAAGTCCCGGCCCGAAAAACCCACCTCTCCCGCCGCCCACGGAAGTTCTTGGTTGGTTTAGGGTTTTCGGTTAGGGTTTGCCCCCTGTTTTGTTGTGGCTCATGTTCTCCTCTTCATGTTGTTCATGGTGAGTTTCGGGTTTTAGGGTTTTAGGGTTTTAAGGGGTTTAAGGGTTTTAGGGTTTTAGGGGTTTTAGGGTTTAGGGTTTTAAGGGTTTTAGGGTTTTAGGGTTTTAAGGGTTTTAAAGGTTTTAGGGTTTTAGGGTTCAGGGCCACCCTGGGTTTGGCTTAGGGCTCAGCGCTTAGAGTTATTGAGGGTACGCTTCCGCAAACCCTAAACCCTAAACCCTAAACCCTAAACCCTAAACCCTAAACCCTAAACGGGTTCATGGCGGGCTTAGGGTTCTGGATTTAGCACGACTACCTTCTCATGCCTAGCTTATTCTGGGACCTAAACCCTAAACCTAAACCCTAAACCCTAAACCCTAAACCCTAAACCCTAAACCCTAAACCCTAAACCCTAAACCTAAACCCTAAATTTAGGAGCCTCCGCGGCTCAGGCCGCCGACCCAAGAGGCCCTAAACCTCTCAACGCCCAGATCAGGTCCCAACCCGAAGCCCTGAACCTTAAGAAACTCTGCATCACGGCTTTAGGACTTGCTTAGCTGGGCTCGGGGGCCCCCCCCCCCACGAAGGGAGGGGAGGGGGAGGGAGCAGGGTTCCCTCCCCCAAAACCATCCAACACGCCGCCAGGGTCGGCGGACCCTAAACCCTAAACCCTAAACCCTAAACCCTAAAACCTAAACCCTAAACCCTTAACCCTAGACCCGAAACCCGAAACCCTAAACCCTAGCCGACATTTGTGTGAACCAATACAGGGCCGCGACTGGCACATGGACAAGGCGCGGTGGAGGGCTGATAGGTTTCTTAAGAAAGGGCCTTTGGGGTCCGATAAGGTTTAGGGTTTAGGGTTTGGGGTTTCGGGTTTAGGGTTTAGGGATTCAGGGTGCTGGGGTGTTAAAGGTTTTGGGTTTTGGGGTTTTCTTAAAAAAGGGCTTTCGGGTTAAGGGTTTCAAAGAGGTCAGGGTTTTTAGGGTTTTCGGGTTTTTGGGTAAGGCTTGTCCTGTCACAGTCCTGTCATTGAAGCCGCCTTTAAATGGGCGCAGGGTGGTGCGGGGTTCGGGTTTGGGGGTTTAGGGGTTTAGGACGGGTTGAAGTGGGCAGGGGGGGATCCTCGTGGTGCGTTGTCCCGGTCCAGGCTTGAATCTAAACCCTAAACCCTAAACCCTAAACCCTAAACGTACGCTGCAACATCAGCGAGGCATGCGCCAGTTTGCAGCCCTCGACCCTGAACCCCCAACCCGAATCCCGAAGCCCCATACCTTGGGATGTTCCCCCTTGTACTAACAGTCCTGAATAGGTTAGGGGTTTAGGGTTTAGGGTCTAGGGTTTAAGAGGGGGTACTGTAATCCCTATTAAGGAGTGTTAGTCTAAGGGGGAACATCCCTATGCCCCCCCCCCGCCCCCGCCCCCACCGTTAACGACTCAACTGCAGCTGTGATGTGTTTTCCGTTCTAAGGAAGATAAGGGGGTTTGTGTTTTCCGTTCTAAGGAAGATAAGGGGGTTTTCCTTTGAGGCTTCCAAATTTTCACAGCTCTAAGATTCTTAGGTCACCGGGTTTAGGGTTTAGGGCTTTGGGCTTAGGGCTCAGGGCTCAGGGCTGGGGCCTAAGCAAAAAGCCTCGCCGACCGGCCGTTGGGGTTCAGAGATGAGCTGGTTGACATTGTCCGACATGTGGGCATGAAGTAGGAGTCATGGAACTTTTTCATGACAGGCCCGTTCAAGGAGATCTTTGGTCAGGACATGGAGGAATGTTGCGCCACAAGGTGATCACCGTGCACGATGAGTGGGCTTCCCAGTGCGTGGCATTGTCTTCAAGGATCCGAGCCAGAAGTTTCGCAGGATCTGCCACTACTCGATCGTTGAACATGTCTTCAAGGACCCCAGAACTCAGCCGAAAATCCGTCCCACATGTGGTCATTTGGGAGAGGTGAGTCCACGAGTTTTGAGGTGTCATGCAGAACGACTTTTCCGACCTTGGGCCCAGGCCGCAGGCTTTCCTACTGATCCTACACGTCCTACCTGCTCATACTCACACTCAGTGGGTCCTCAACTGAGTCAACTAGTCAGTCCTAGTAACTACTAGTCCTACCCCTACTCATACTCCACCTTTCTTTACCTTGTTTCTTCTTTCCTTTACGTCGCCTCGCATCGCAGGCATTACGAGATACAAGTGTGAGATGCGGCCGAGGCAGCTACGGATGCTGCTAGGATAAGTCAAAGATGTCACTATGACACTAGAAACCCGAAAGCCCTGAACCGTGAATTCCCATGGGCCCTCCCCTTCCGAACCTTCAGCCCTTTAGACCCTAAACCCTAAACCCTAAACCCTAAACCCTAAACCCTAAACCCTAAACCCTAAACCCTAAACCCTAAACCCTATTCCCCAACCTTATATAAAGCCCCATAGCCATACAATCCCTAAAAAAGCCACTCGGACATCCCAACCAGACCTTGGCCGCAGCTGTTCTCCCTCCCGGGCCGGTTGGGTCCCCAGATGAGGGTCTGGGGTTTCGGTTTCGGGTTTGTATGGCTATAGGGCTTTAAATAAGGTTGGGGAATAGGGTTTAGGGTTTAGGGTTTAGGGTTTAGGGTTTAGGGTTTAGGGTTTAGGGTTTAGGGTTAGGGTTCAGGGTTCAGGGTTTAGGATTCAGGGTTTAGGGTTTAGGGTTTAGGGGTAGTTATACGTAGAGTGTTAATTGCGCTAAATAGGGCGATGAGTACAGTTACCATACTTGCAATCCTACTTATAGCTACCCTTGAACCCCCAAGTAGGGTGCAGGAGTTTGGGCACACGTCAGGGCAGCTCTTACTAAGAAATTTAGGGTCTAAGGTGTTGGGTCTCGGGCTTTTGGGGTTTAGAGACTCGGGCCAATTACTTGTTGTCTAGATCTGATCCGAGTTTTTGACTTTTGAACAAGACGCTGAACGAAACGGTTCAGGACTGAGGTTCACCAAGAGAAGCGACATTGACATGACAATGCTGGACACCTTGTAACTTGATGCACCGTTAAGGGATCAGAAATAGGACATTATGTTTTTTTTTCTTTGGTGGCCCTTTTCTGAGCACATGTCGGTCGCATACAAACTCTGGGTCTGCTACATCTGGGCACGTAAGGGCGAGAACGCAAGGTAGAGAACTGGCCGGGCTTCACAAGCGTCTGAGAGCTGTCCGACCCTTAACCCTAAACCCTAAACCCTAAAGCCTAAACCCTAAAACCTAAACCCTAAACCCTAAACCCTAAACCCTAAACCCTAAACCCTAAACCCTAAACCCTAAACCCTAAACCCGACCCTAGCCGGGACACAGCTCCCAAAGAGCACTCAGACCTGGGAGACCAAGTGTCTGCTTATCCGTTCCTTGTTTGGGTTAGGGTTTACTGTAGGGTTTAGGGTTTAGGGTTTAGGGTTTAGGGTTTAGGGTTTAGGGTTTAGGGTTTAGGGTTTAGGGTTTAGGGTTTAGGCTTCAGGGGCTTCAGGGGTTTGACGGGTTTAGGGTTCAGGGCTTAGGGTTTAGGAAGGGGTTCCTGAGTTTCATAGAGTTCGTCGCGTTCATGTAAGCTTCATCGCGTGCACAGGGTTCATCGCATTCATGGGGTTCATAGGGTTGAGTGCCCTAAGAGCAAGGTAACTCCCAACCCCAAACCCTAAACCCCAAATCCCAAACCCTAAACCCTAATCCGAGCATCTGTTTAATTGGTGGGGGCCCCCCCCCCCCCCCCCCCCCCCCCCCCCCACAATAAGGAATGCAGGGTTCCGCAATAGTTGGACCGTGGCCCTGTATTGATTCTCTATTAAAAACAATAGGCTGCAGATCCCTGATGTGCTGTAGCTTTGCGTCTCCGCAAGCAAAACAAGAAGCCTGCCGACAGATTTTTGAACCCCCCCAAAAAAAAATCCTTTAAATGTGGGGGGTTTGTCCCATACGAAATCCACCCTAATGGAAAGTAGTCTTCCGGCGGGCTTCCGGCAAAAAAAAAATTCTTTAAATGTGGGGGTATAAATTAAACTGATGCTCGGATTAAACCCCAAACCCTAAACCCCAAACCCTATCCCTACTAGAAGATTGGAGCTCGGGGCGAGCTCTGGAGGTCCTGGCACTCTCATTTTGTGGAGCCTCAACCCTCCTAAGCTCGAAGCCCTAAACCCTAAACCCTAAATCCTGCACCCTAAACCCTAAACCTAAACCCTGCACCCTAAACCCTAAACCCCAAACCCTAAACCCCAAACCCCAAACCCTAAACCCTAAACCCCAAACCCCAAACCCTAAACCCCAAACCCTAAACCCTAAACCCCAAACCCTAAACCCTAAGCCCTAAGCCCTAAACCCTCCTCATGAAATTGTCAAGCCCAAAAAGTCCTCGGAAGCCGCTGAGGATGCTGCCTGCCACACGCAGCGCACCTCGCTAGAGAGCCTCTGTGGGAGCCTCAGGGGTTTAGGGTTTGGCACTTAGGGTGTAGGGTTAGGGTTTAGGGTTTCGGGTTTTTAGGGTTTAATTCGGGATTTGGGTTTTTTTTTGGCGGTTTAGGGTTAGGGTTTGTCGATCAACGCAGCCCCAAAGCTCTAGACCCTGAACCCTTTGCCTCTATAAACCCCAAACCTCAAACCTCAAACCCTAAACCCTAAGCCCTAAACCCTAAACCCCAAACCCCAATCCCCAATCCCCAAACCCTAAACCCCAAACCCTTAACCCTAAACCCTAAACCCTAAACCACAAACCCAAGTTTCGAATTCAGAAAGCTCCCAGGTGAGGACGGGCTCTCCGAAGCCGCGTCGCGTATTGGTGAGTTGCGCGAGGCGCCTCTGCGACCCCTTTGGGTTAGGGCTCAATTTCGGGTTTAGGGTTTAGGGTTTAGGGTTTAGGGCTTAGGGTTTAGGGTTTAGGGTTTAGGGTTGGACTGCCTTGGGTTAGGGCTCTATTTCGTTTGTTTTTAGGGTTTTGTTACTAATTAGGGGTTATGTCGGTTACAGGTTCAGGGCTGAGGGTTTAGGGTTTAGGGGACCTCGTTGGGTTAGGGCTTTATTTCGTTTGTGTTAAGGGTGTCTTTCGGGCTTTATTTCGGTTATTAAAGGGTTTTGTTATTAGGGCTTGTTTCGGGCATTTTTCGGGTTTTGTATGATTTGTGTCGGGATTTTGTCTAAGCTTTTCAAGGTTTTAACTCGTTTTGAGTTTGTAGTATGTTTTTTTGTGTTTCGTTAGGTTTCTTGAGGGATGTTCATGTTTTGTTTTAGGCTTTTTCAAAGGCCTTTAGGGTGAATTTAGGGCTAATGCGGGCTGTTGGGGTTTTGAAGCTTAAGAGCCTTACTGGGCACGGGGGTTAAGTAACCGCAAGTAAAGTCGACCCACGACAGCTTGACCTTGGGGATCTGCACACGCAGGCTGTAGTTTGCAGGCTCGGGACTCAGCTGGGCTTTGGAGTAGTATGCTTTAATACTTTTTTTGGTTTTGGCTTCCTTTGATAGCTACTTCTACCTAGAAAGTATATACTTTTTTTCAGGGTCTACTCCAAAGCTGGGTCAGGGGGCTTAGCTTAGCATGACAATGGGGTTCTTGGGTTGCAGTGGCAGCAGGCTTGTCCAATTTCAGGCAAGAGAGGCACCTCTCTGGCAGAGTTTCCCTAGGCTTCTCTTGAGAAGAACTGGGTAGGATCCTGGGATGTTTCATGTAGCCGTGTAGCTCCTTACTTGGCTGAAGAGGATCCTACTTGAGAATCTTGTTCCAGAGGGTGTAAAGGGCCAACCTCATTGCTCCTAAACGCTAAACCCCAAACCCTAAACCCTAAACCCTAAACCCTCAAGAGCCAACCTCATTGCTCCTAAACGCTAAACCCCAAACCCTAAACCCTAAACCCTCAAAGAGCCTCCTTGCGGTATTCCGCCAGTTCCCACCTTCCATGAGCCCGCGCGACGTCAACTTCGAGCCGGGTGTCCCAAAGGGATTGGGTTGAGGGTTTAGGGTTTGGGGTTTTGGGGCAGTATACAAATGCTCTGGATGGCTGGGGACTGTGTTTGTTGTGGGGTCCTGAAGGGAAGAGGCTAGGGGTTTTAGGGCTGTGGGTTGAGGGTTTAGGCTTTAGAGGGTAGGGGTTTTGGAGTCTACGGTCCTTGAAGGCAGGGCTTCGGGTTTTTCAGCGTTTAAGGTTCTTAGGGCTTAGGGAAAGGAATCCTTGAAGAGCTTCCCCAATCCAAGGGCACCAACCCCCTCATGACCATGAGCCCCCTCTAGACCCCTAGACCCGAGACTGTATCACTGTATCAACCCTGGCTCGATAACCCGAAACCCTATAAACCCTTGCCTAAACCCCAAACCATTCTTGGCGCTTCAGCCCAGAACAAGTGCTGCAGCCAATCGTAAAGGAGAGCCCGAAGGTCAGGTAGGATGCTCTTAGAGCCGAAGTAGCTGAGGGTTAGGGTAACGGTTTAGAGCTTAGGGTTTAGGGTTTAGGGTTAGGGTTTAGGGTTTAGGGTTTAGGGTTTAGGGTTTAGGGTTTAGGGTTTAGGGTTTAGGGTTTAGGGTTTAGGGTGGAGAGAGCATTCCAGCACCGGGTAACCCCTAATGCTTGTCTGACACCGGCCTGAGGGCGGATGGCCATCCACACCTGGGGCCGTCTCTTGGCAAGCACACCGGGCAGCAAATGGGTGAGGGAAGCCTTAGGGTTTTTTCAGGTGTTTAGGGTTTTGGCTTTAGGGTTTTAGGGTTTTGAGGGTTTCAGGGTTTCAGGGTTTCAGGGTTTCAGGGTTTCAGGGTTCTTTAGTTTTAGGGCTTGGGGCTTCCTGAACACCGGGCAGCAAACGGTGGTTTGTGAAACTAGGGGTACCCTTTTGGGGGTCCCTTCAAGGGGATTCTATTCCATTTGGGGGGGGGGGGGGGGGGAAAAAAGGGCCCCTATTTTGGGGGAAATGCCCAAATGGGTGAGGGAACCCTTGGGGTTTCGAGGGTTTTAGGGCGTTAGCGTTTTAGGGTTTCAGGGTTTCAGGGTTTCAGGGTTTCAGGGTTTCAGGGTTTCAGGGTTTCAGGGTTTCAGGGTTTGAGGTTTTGAGGGTTTGAGGGTTTTAGAGTTTCAGCGCTTAGGGCTTCCTAAACCCTAAACCCGAAACCAGCGCTAGGGAAGTAGACCTGTCGTGTGGGCCAAAAGTCGTCCAACTGACGATGGAAGTCCCTTAGGTGTAGCTAGCACAGTAGGGGGCGTGAAGAACAGCTATCCCTACCACCAACATCTCAAGGTCTGGGTTCAGGGTTTAGGGTTCACAGTTCAGGGCTTAGGGTTTGGGGTTTAGGGTGCTGGAACCATCCTACTTGGGATCGAAAGCTTCTTTTTGTCTCAAGCAAGACAGCAGGCCACTCAGCAACTTGCCTTCATTCCGCCGAGACAGGGCAAGGGCCGGCGCGAGTATTACCTTGCTTTGCTGCCCCAGGAGCGGTGCGAACCTCTTTTTTTGAGGTGGGCTGCATGATTTGTGCTTGCTTGGGTCACAGGGCATGCTGCTACCAACCGGGAGCCACAGATCACTTCTCCCTCCGCGGCACCGCTGAAGAAGCTGGGGAGAGATTCCGCTGGTATGACGACGGGGCCATGCAACTCGACCACTGGCGAGCGTTCCAGATATGTGTTTCCTACTACATTGGTGTTTCTGCCAGGTGAGATCTTCATCCCTGGCACACCCGTCCTACCCAAACCTTGTGGCCTTAAACCCTACCACCGTAAATTCTGACCCCTACGACCCCGAGCCCTGAACACTAAACCCTAAATCCTGAACCCTAAACCCTAGACCCTGAACCCTGAACCCTAAAGCCCTGAACCTTCAACCCTTGAACTCTATGCGCCCTACACAAGCCTACACTCCGGGAGCTCTGACTGGAAAGTTGTTTGGCACACTTCCGGGTTTAGGGTTCTAGTGTTCAGGGTTTAGGGAGCCACGACGAGGGTTCAAGGTTTAGGAGTTCAGGGTTTAGGGTTTAGGGTTTAGGGTCTGACAGTGTAATGCCCAGTGGCTCTCTTGTTCCGCTTTCTTTGGGGGTTTCGTTTCCCCTTTCAAGCCCCTTGAAACTATTCTCCAAGCCCTGTAAACCCTAAACCCTGAACAGGGTTTGGACTTTTCTGCGGGTTGCGCCTACAAACCCTAAACCCTAAACCCTAGACCCTAGACCCTACACCCTACACCCTACACCCTACACCCTAAACCCTAAACCCTAAACCCTAAGCCCTAAGCCCTAAGCCCTAAGCCCTAAGCCCTAAGCCCTAAACCCTAAACCCTAAACCCTAACCCTAAACTCTAAACCCTAAACCCTAAACCCTACCTACACCCTAAACCCCAGCTTGGGGGGATTGATGTCCGTGCAGCCGAGGGTGGGAGCAACCCCAGGAGCGTCGAGCTCGGCGGTGCCGCCCTAGCCTCAGCTGCTTCAGGGTTTAGGGTCTCGGGTTTGGGGTTTAGGTTTCGGGTTTAGGGTTTAGGCTTCAGGGTTTTGGGGTTTCGGGTTTAGGGTTTGGGGTTTAGGGTTTAGGGTTGAGGGTTGAGGGGTTAGGGTTGAGGGTTTAGGGTGTAAACCCTAGACCCGATAGAAACGCTTTAGAAACCCTGCGCCCTGAAACCAGACTCCCGGGGTTTAGGGCGTAGGGCTTCTAAAACCCTGATCGCTGAGACCAGAACCCTGAACCCTCGCCCGGAAATCTAGGGTACGGTTGAAAGAAAGCTGGGTTTCTCTTGTTTGCACTGGCGACCATGTCTGCACTGTTTGTAATTCGCAGTGTGCTTTCCAGAAAAATTGGAAGCAGCTGAAGAAGCCGGCCAATTCCATGAACCTGTCCCTTACCCGTCAACTCTCTTTTCTTTGTCATGGCGGGGTAGCATTTTACATTTTAGAGGTACTTAAACTCAACAAGGAATAGAAAGTTTGACTTCTGATACTATCCCAACCATGAACTAGTTTTGCAGCGGAGGACCTCTTGATTGCCAACAACCCCAAACCCTAAACCCTACACCCTAAACCCTAAACCCTAAACATAAACCTAAACACTAAACCCTAAACTCTAAACCCTAAACCCTAAACCCTAAACTCTAAACCCTAAACCCTAAACCTTAACATCCTGATCACACGAAGCTCTTAAGGTCTTCTGGGATGGCAGACACGCTGTCGAAGACCATCGCGAGCATTGAGGTCTGCCACGCCAGGGCTCGGGAGTTGTTGGGTTTAGGGTTATGGGGCTGGGGTTTAGGGCTTAGGGCTTAGGGCTTAGGGCTTAGGGCTTAGGGTTGAGGGGTTTAGGGTGAAGGGGTCCTAAACACCTCAGCCCCAGCACCAATTTGGTGCAAACCACACGAGCCCAAACAATTGCCATGCTTATCGGGTTCTTAAGGGAGGGGGCTTCATGGGGTTCACGGTTTAGGGTTTCGAGTTTAGGTTTAGGGTTTAGGGTGGGGGGGGGGGGGGGGGGGTGGTGGTACCTGGGGTGCTTTAGGGAGTAGTGGGGAGTGTTCGAAAGGGAACCTTGGGTTACATACCCCCCTTGACCGCCCTCTCCCTTCAGAACCCTATAAACACGTTGTCGCCTCGCACTCCCTAAAATAGTCGTTCTAAGTGCACCATAAACCCTAAACCCAACACCCTAAATTCTTAACCCTATGCCACTAGATCCCAATGGAGTTCGGGCGTCTGGCGAACGAACCCCCATGGCCTGGAAGGCTTCTGAAGGCCAGCGTGGTGATTTCACGGTGGGAAGTACGTCGCCTTATTCCTGACCTGGAGTACAAAACGACTGGCGCTGGAGATCGAGAGCAAGCTATGGCGCAGAAGTCTGAGGCATTGGGTAAAGTAAGGTTATATAAGTACCCAAACCACTGCGAGGTTTATAACTTTTTGTTTCCCTACTTAGGGCCCTACTTGTAAGTTCCCACAAACCGCCAAGTAAGGGCCTCAGCATTCAGGAAAGCACGATGGTTTCGGGGTAAGGCTTGTTTTTGGAGAGGTGATGAAGAAAGACCCATGTTTGGAAGGTCATGGGTAGTTATAAGAAGGGTTATAAGTATGGCAACTATACATCACCCCCTAACTCTACTTATAAGTAACCCATGAGCCCGCACGTATGCCCTAAACCCTAACCCCGAAACCCTAAACCCTGGCAGCAATTTTCTTGGAGCTTCTTTTCCCGAAACCCGAGTTGCTAGACTTTCTTCTTTGGGAGAGAATCGGGGTTTGCCAGCCATCAACCTGGAGGAGACCGAGGGAAACCCTAAACCCTAAACCCTAAACCCTGAACCATAATTCCTAAACCCTAAACCCTAGACCCTAATAAATCCTAAACTCTAAACCCCAAACCCTAAACTCTAAACCCCAAACCCTAAACAATAAACCCTAAACCCTGAACCCTGAACCCTAATCCCTAAACCCTAAACTGCTTCTCCCTTGCAGGACTCCATGAACTTGCCCTCGTGGCTACGACAGATTCGCCACTGATGAGGGAGCGAGGGTCTCGGTCAAGGCCTACTGCGGGCTTCATTGGGTTTAGGGTTTGGGGTTTAAGGTTTCTAGGAACCCTAAACCCTAAACCCTAAACCCTAAACCCTAAACCCTAAACCCTAGTTTGTAGGGTTTCAGGAGGCCGGAGACCCTCGCAGCGACCCCTCGCTCCCAAAGTGGAGCGCCGCCTCTCCTTTGAGGACGGAAGGAGCCCTAAACTTGGGATCCTGTAAGAAGCAGTAGGGCTTAGGGTTTAGGGTTTAGAGTTTAGGGTTTAGGGCTTAGGTTTTGTGCTGATTATGAGTATCCCTCTAGTGCAGTATTCTTTTACATATCTGTATATATTGTTGTTTTCTCATGTGTATATATGTATATATATATATATACATATATATATATACTGATGATGATGTATGTTCCTACTTATCGCTATACAGCTACGCTCAGATTTAGATAGGTCATGCCGGGCAGGCCGAACTAGGGATGAGGGTTGTAGGGCTCCAGGGTGGGTCCTATAGTATCCCACCGTTCTAGCGTTTAGGGGTTTAGGGTTTGGGGTTTAGGGTTAGGGGTTTAGGGTTTAGGGTTAGGGGTTTAGGGTTAGGGTTTGGGGTTTAGGGTTAGGGGTTTAGGGCTCCTTGTGTCCACAAGGTCTCTGTCACAAGACGTGGCCGCTAGGGAGGCTACAGCTGGGGGCCGGGGTTAGGGGAGTCGGTCTGCAGGGCTTTAGATGTACGCGTTAGGCTTTGGGGGGGGTCTTTGGGTTTGGGGTTTAGGGGTGAAGGACGAGGGTTTAGGATTTAAGAGTTAGGGTTCGGGGTTAAGGATGCAAGAGCTAGGGCTTTTAGGGCTTCTTGGGGTGAAGAGCTGGGGGTATGGCTTCAGGGGGACAGGCGGTTGGACTGAGGGTTTAAGCTTTGGGTTGTGGGTTTAGGCCTGAGGTGCCGAGCCCGCAGGTTTTGGGGTTTAGGGTTTAGGGTTTAGGGTTTAGGTTTTAGGGTTTAGGGTTTAGGGTTCCACAGCTCCAGGAACCGGGAACCTCCCATCTTATTGTTTTCTCTTGCAGAAAAACGGTGATTGGATTCTTGGAGAACCTATAAACGGAGTTTTTGGGGCCTGCAAATAGGGTGGAAGAATTCGTGTTCTTTGTTTTATTTTTTTTTGGGGGGGGGGTTCTAGGTTGTTGTGTTTTGGAGTGTTCGGTGCTCGTGCCTTGGGGTGTCAGCACTTGAGTTCACTTGTTCCGTGCAGCACTTCTGCAGCATTTGAGGGTTTGGGACTTGGGGTTTGGGGTTTGGGGTTTGGGGTTTGGGGTTTGGGGTTTAGGCCGAAGCCCTAATGTATTGTTACTTGGATTTTAGAAATGCACTCATCGAATGTACACCCTACCTTGGAGTTCTGCGCACTCTTCCCCGCCTCGCCCCAAGCCATGTCAATGCTCCTCGCGACGAAAAGCGCGTCCGGGTTTTGTGGGCCCCCGGGGGCGGGGGGGGGGGGGGGGCACCCGAAGCACTAGCACTGCTGTTTTGGGGTTCTAGTGGGCCACACCCCATATCTGCACATCTTAGACAGGCTTCAGTGTTTAGGGTCCAGAGCTAGAGTCTAGGGTTTACTTTGTGGTTCTTTACTGTATCTTTAGATCCTTAGCCTTTTTGGGCTTATTGGGCTTCTTGAGAAGGCAATTTGTAGCTACCCTCCTAAGTGCAGCCAAGTTTCGGTTTTAGGAATTCAAACCAGCTCCGAAACCCCAAACCTAATGCGATAAAGACGATCTGGTTCCCAGGGCCACAAAAAAGTTTTCGACCCCCATAGTACGTAGTCATGCCAAGAGGGGGCCCTACACTCAAGCACCCTAAACCCTAAACCCTAAACCCTAAACCCTAAACCCTAAACCCTAAACCCTAAACCCTAAACCCTAAAGCACCCAAGTTTGGCATCACCTGTGTAGTTTATAGTTGAGAAGGAGGTGCTGGAAAAACCTTCAGCAGGGGCTGCCAGGATGCGGCCGAGATTTAGGGTTCAGGGTTTAGGGCTTATAGGGTCTCGGGTTTAGGGTTTAGGGTTTAGGGTTTAGGGCTAGGGTTCAGGGTTTAGGGTTCAGGGTTTAGGGTTTAGGGTTTAGGGTTTAGGGTTTAGGGTTTAGGGTTTAGGGTTTAGGGTTTAGGGTTTAGGGTTTAGGGTTTAGGTTTAGGGTTTAGGGTTTAGGGTTTAGGGCTAGGGTTTAGGGTTTAGGATCTAGGGCTACCTCTACCCGGAATGAAACACGAAGTTTTTTGCGTCTCATGGGAAAGTCACTTTGTGACCTGGACTCCTCATACTGGAAGCCCCTAATCCCTGAACCCTGATCCCTGAACCCTGAACGCTGAACCCTGAACCCTGAACCCTGAACCGTAAACAAAACACAACACAAAACACAAAACAAGCTTCGTGACTCGAGCCCAGGGCAGTTTTTTAGGATTTAGGGTTTAGGGCGGTCTTTGGGTAGGCATGTCTTCACGCCGCTGCGTTCAGCTGACCAATGCCAAGCCCTCCACCTTAAACCCTGCACCCTAAACCCTGAAGCCTAAACCCTAAAACCCTACAAGCCTAGAACCCTTAGACCCCAAAACCCTAAATCCTAAAACCCTGAACCCTAAAACCCCAAACCACTCTATCATATATCATATAAATGTTAATGGCTTTGTGGGCAAGGTCATAGAACTAGCGGGCAAGGTCACAAAATCAGTGGGCAAGGTCAGTCGGCTGACCCATGACCTTGCCCACTACTTTTATGACCGTGCCCACGAATTTTTATGACCTTTGGGTCAGCCGACAGACCTTGCCCACTAATTTTATGACTTTGCCCACTACTTGTAGGACCTTGCCCACAGATTTTATGACCCAGGCAAAGTCATAAACAACTAGCGGGCAAGGTCATAAAATTCCCCCCCCCCCCCCCCCCCCCCCCCCCCCCCCCCCCCCCCCCTCCCTTTTTTTGTTCCCGGTTCAAGCAACTGAGGGTTCAGGGCCCAGGGGTTCAGGGCTTAGGGTTCTAAGTTCTACGGTTAGGGTTTAAGGGACGAGTGCTTAGGGCTCAATTTGGGGTAAGAGTTTGGGTTGCGTGTGGAGTTTTTTTTTTTTTTTTTTTTATCTTGATGGTATGGGATTCTCTGGGTGGGTGGGTACTTCTCAGCTGCTAACCTAGTGAATGCTGAACTTTGAGATGCTGAACCCTTCAACCCTACACCCTAAAAACCCTGCTCGCCGCGGCGATGTTGTCAAGGGTCGGCCCCTTGCCCAGTCCATCCTAGAGTGAGCTCCTTTGCCACCTACAAGCAACATGATCACCGCAGGCAGGGCGAGAGGGTGGAAGGGCTTAAGGTTCACCACCCCAAAACCCTAAACCCTGACCCCTAAACCCTGAACCCTCAACCCTAAACCCTCAACCCTAAACCCTAAACCCTAAACCCTAAACCCTAAACCCTAAACCCTAAACCCTAAACCCTAAACCCTAAACCCTAAACCCCTAAACCCCTAAACCCTAAACCCTAAACCCCATACCCAAACCCCTAAACCCTAAACCCTCAACCTCCACACTTCCCTGAGCCCTGGTTCCCCTAATACAGAAAAGTTGCAGCCTACCTTCAGAATCTGGGTTTAGGGTTTAGCATTTAGGGTTTAGGGTTTAGGGTTTAGGGTTCAAGGTTTAGGGTTTAGGGTTTAGGGTTTAGGGTTTCGGGTAGAATCTGCAGCCTCTTGCTTCGTCTTAAGCCCTTCACCTTCAACCCTGCCATGGGTCGGCTGTTGATCTTGTTAATTTAGGGTTTAGGGTTTAGGGTTTAGGGTTTAGGGTTTAGGGTTTAGGGTTCAGGGTTTAGGGTTCAGGGTTTAGGGTTTAGGGTTTAGGGTTTGGGGCTCAGGGTTTTGCGGGTGTGCAGAATTCGGCTCAGGGTTGACGGTGTGCGAGAATTTCGGCCGTTTGGCGTCTTTGGGGTGAAAGGGGTCGGAATAAAGACTACAAGTATTCCCTTCTGGCCCCTCGAGAATGATACCATAATAACCCCATAAAATCCTATTCTAACCTTTAAGGCCCCCCCCAAATTACCTTAGGTTTACGTTCCGCATCAAGACCCGGCTTAGCATCAGGATCTGGCTTCGAGGATCCTAAAACATTGCAACCCTACTTGGAGGAGTCATGGTACTTCTTAACCAGTTCTAACGGTACTCATAACCATACTAGGGCACTTAAGGGGAATATAAGTGGGTTAGAAGTACAGTTATACTTGGTTAAGAAGTACCATGAACCTCCAAGTAAAGCCTGATACCCGAGCAAAAAACGAAATGCGGGTTTAGGAAAGTAAGGGCCCCAATATAGATCCTCGAATAGCAGGATCCCCGTAGAATAAGTACCCCAAAAAAGGTACCCCTAAACCCCAAACCCCAAACCCTAAACCCTAAACCCTAAGCCCCAAACCCGATTGTCGTCAATTTCGGAAACCCCCAACAAATGCGCCGGTCGTCTCATCACCCATCAGATCTTCCTTGCAAATGCGGGAGGAAGCAGCCACATCGCGAACCAAGAGGCGGCGCGCGAGTCCCCTGAGCCCTTGGTGCTTTGGGGGTTTAGGGTGTAGGGTTTGGGGTTTGAGGTTTGGGGTTTGGGGTTTGGGGGTCTGGGGTTTCGGGCGGGCTCAGGTTTCGAGGTTCAGGGTTTAGAGTTAGCTTAGGTTTTGAGGTTTAGGAGGGGGGGCCCCAAGGTGGATGAGGACTTACCATGGGAGTCATTCTCGGACCCCTAAGCTTGCACCCGCAAGTTCTTCCCTTACTCCTAACGTGGCCCTTGTATTCCCTTAGAGGATCTTGACAAAGGGGTCCCGAAGCCCAAGGGTGCAACCTTCTAGGGGTCCAAGGTAACGTCCCATGGACTTAGGGTTTGGATTAAAGCTTGGGAGTTTCTTCGGCGCGGGCAGGAGGTTCAATTCGAGCTTCTACTAGGATCTCAAGTTGCCGTTGCCGTCGTGATTCCCTTCTTTTCCAGGGGCTTAGGCTCCTTTATGACGCCCCACACCCTAGTCCCAACCCTAAACCCTGAACACTAAACCCTAAACCCTAAACCCTAAACCCTAACACCTAACCCCTAAACCCGAAACCCTAGTCTGGAGTCTTTCACGTGCTTCGTTTATCACAGGATCAGACGTGAGATCACCCCTCAAAAGAAGCTCCAGATTCAGGATAGCCAACAGTTTTGACATGCTCGTAGGCTTAAATGTTTAGGGTTTAGGGTTTAGGGTTGGCCTGACATGTAAATGCCCCATGACGTAATGGTCCAAGGTTCAGGGCTTCGTGCGGCAAATCTTAAACCCTAAACCCTCAACCCTGAACCCGGAGCCCTACCTGAACGAGCTCTCATGCCCCTTAACTTCATGGCCCCTTACCCTAAACCCTAAGCCCTAAACTCTAAGCCCTAAACCCCAACCCTAACGGGTCCTTATAGGGTGATTTTTTGGGCGGGACCCTTGCACTTAAATCCTGCAACGCTCAGCCTGCAGTTCATGCCCGTGATACTTATTCCGTTTGCCCTAAACGCCGAATACCGGTTTAAGTTTTAGGGCCGGGGTTAAGTTGGGGGGGGGGGGGGGGGGGGTTTAGGGTTTAGGGTTTAGGGTTTAGGGGTTAGGGTTTAGGGTTTAGGGTTTAGGGTTTAATTAGGGTTTAGGGTTTAGGGTTTGGGGTTTAGGGTTGTTATGGCTTCTCGGCTGCCTGCACGCAGCGACCAAAAACCCTTCAATCCTGAGCCCGAAACCCAAACCGACAGGTCGTGTGGACGTTCGGCGTGCCCTGGCATGGCATAGCTCCTGCCTCCTCTTGTAGGTGGCCCATATGAAGCAGGGTTTATATTACTGTTTTTGGTGAGTGTATATAAGGTTCCTTTTGAATATTGGCGAGTGTATGCCTTGGATGTCCTTTTGGGGGTACAAGAAATATATACCCTACTTCATATGAGAACCCTGTAAGGCCTGCACAAGTCTGCTTTGGACTATTTCGCGTGAGCGGCTGTTTAGCACTTATGGGTAAAGACTTTCTGTTCAGAGCTCCATGCCTGCCAAACCCCCAAAAACCAAAAACCGCTGAACTCTGGGCCCTTGCTGCCCATGGAGCATGGGTATTGGGCCTTAGGATTTGGGACGTAGGGTTTAGGTTTAGGGTTTAGGGTTTGGGGTTTAGGGTTTAGGGTTTAGGGTTTTGTGGGCCCAAAGCATGCCGTTGAAGACCCAACATCCTTTTTCCGAGGATGACCGAGAGGGTCTCTTCAAAGTTGTCGTTCGAAACTCCTTCCTGGATGTCGACCATGCGTCGTCCTCAGGGGTTTAGGGTGTAGGGTTTAGGGTTTAGGGTTTAGGGCGAAGGGTTCACTGTTTAGGGTTAAGGGTTTAGGGTTGAGGGGCTTGAGTTGGAGTTTTTGGCTTGAGGTCGAAACTTCGAGCTTGGCTGTTGCGGGTTGTGGGTTTTCATTTTGGGTACGAAGGGGCTCCCTGACGCCCCAGCCCCTGGATGGACCCTGTGAGAGGGCCTTTCTTTTTCCTCGAGCATCCGGGTTGATCCAGTTGGACCTTTCGAGCCCTAAACAACCCAAACCCTAGAACCTAAACCCTGAAGCCTCAACGACCCAAACCCTAGAACCTGAACACTAAACCCTAAACCCTAAACTATCCTAAACCCTAAACTATCCTAAACCCTAAACTATCCTAAACCCTAAACCCTAAACCCTAAACCCTAAACCCTAAACCCTAAACCCTAAACCCTAAACCCTAAACCCTAAACCCTAAACCCTAAACCCTAAACCCTAAACCCTAAACCCTAAGCAGCCCACACCCTGGAACCAGAACCTGTGGGATCATCCCTCCATGTGCCCTAGGACCCGAAGTAGGCCCTCATTCCCTTCTTTGCGGGTTTACGGGGTAACCCTAAACCCTAAACCCAAAACCCTGAACCCTGAACCCTGAACCCTGAACCCTGAACCCCCAAACCCAAACCCAAACCCTGAACCCTAAACCCTAAACCCTGAGCCATCCATCCATTTGCCTCAGTTGCCCTGTCAGGAGCCGGTTGAGGAGAGCTGGGCACCTAGGGCAGGCCACCGATTCTGGGATGGGGCTGGAGTTGAACCTGAAGGAGTTTAGGGTTTAGGGTTTAGGGTTTAGGGTGTTTTCCTGAGGCACACCTTGAGCCAACAACAATGTTTTCGATTCGGGGTCGAGGGTTGGGGGTTTCCCTAGACCCTAAACCCTAAACCCTAAACCCTAAACCCTAAACCCTAAACCCTAAACCCTAAACCCTAAACCCTAAACCCTAAACCTTTGCAGGTTTCGTTTTTTCTTTCCCCCTTGTTTAGGGTTTAGGGTTTAGGGGTTTGGGGTTTGGGGTGTCGGGTTTAGGGTTTAGAGTTTAGGGTTTAGGGCTTAGGGTCATTCCCCAACAGCTTGAGCTTTGGGCCTTTTTAGCTGCGGAGCAGATCGGAGCGGGCCCCGCAGCAGGGGTCCAGTGTGGGTTCCACGTGCCGAAAAGTGCACGTGCCTTCTGCTTTTGTTTTTTTGCCTGGGGTTTTGCCTGGGGCTTGAGGTTTCGGGGTTTGGGGTTTAGGGTTTAGGTTTAGGGCCTGTTAGGGTTTAGGGTTTAGGGGTCGAACGGCGTCCATCAGATGAGGAGCCCACGTCCTTGCGCCCGTCGCCCTAGAAACCCCCAACTAGACCCTGGATCCCGAAACCCCCCATAATCGCTACAACCGCACCGAAACCCGATGCCCAAAATCCCTAAACCCAATTTTCCCTAATCCCCGAACATCCCTCCCTCTAGCCTTCACTAAGCCACCCGGCTAAACCGTACCCCCAAACCCAAAACCCTTCCTTCCTTCCGAGGCATCAGGGTCCGGTGAGCAGGTACCCGCGCTGGCCAAAAACGACATCGCTGTGACGTCGCAGCCCGAAAACTAAGAAACAGAACCTACGAAAACGCAACAAGCACAAAGTCGAGAGCTCGCTCCCTCAGGGAGACGGCAGCGACTGGTGCAAGGCGGCCATCTGTACAGTTTTGGCATGTGAAGCCAAAAGGCCACGTCTCAGCTCGGAATGGAAGGCAGCCACGGCGTCAAGCCTCAGAGAGGCCAGAACAAAGCTGCGACCTTCCCAGCGGACGTCGTGCAGCACCACTCGCTTGTCGACTGCGGCAAAGACAGTGCGTATCGCCTGAGAGAGATGTCCACACCACCACAAGGCTCCAGTGTCGCGCAAGGAGGCAACCAAAAGGAAAATAGTGTTGGTAGCCCTCAGCAGACGCTGCCGAAACTCCGTACAGGAATCCCGTGAGGCACCTTGACGGATGTGCCCTTCAGAAGAAGTAGGCGGCGTCCCCTCTGGGCCTCCATACGTAGTGGGCGGGCGGCTTCCACGAACGGCCTTGACCACCACTCCATGTGGGCACACATGGCCCAGAGGGGCAGGAAGGGGGCCAGCGAAAAGGACAGCCTCCAGAGTCGATGTCCCTGCAACCCGGACCACAAGGGTGACGGAGCCGCCATATCATCCGTAATTGAGCGCCATTCCTTCCAGCCAGCAGCAGTAGCCTCTACTGGGGCCCGGGCCACTGCAGGACACGGGGCTGATTGGGAGAAATGTTCGGCCACCGCGGGCGCAGGGACCTGAGGTACAGTGTCTCCGGCAGCAGCCTCAAGCTCAACCCAGCGCTGTAACTCGGCCTGGAGTTCAGCCTCCGTGGCATAGCGGTCTTCATCAGCCGCCTGACGCTGAAGGGGGGTCGGCAGAAGAGGACCCGCAGTCTGTAGTGGTGGGACTCTGAGGTGGCCCGCCGCCCCCACTCGCTTCGTGGCTGTGCCCGCCACGTAGATTGGCCCGACCACGTGACGAAGCCCACATCTGCACCGTGGGGTGTGTTCGATGTGGTACCTCAGACGTGTAGTGGAGTGAAAGTCGCGCAAGCACCAGCGGCAGACGGTGTCGACGATGAAGGACATGCTCTCCGACACCACTCCATGCGTGCGGTGCAAATGCACAGACAAGGCATGCTTCGTGGGCCGAGTTTCCGGACAAACATGGCATTTCCACGCCGGAGGCGGTCGTGCCCGGGCCTCCACCAGCGGTTGCGAGTGAGCAAGGCTCTCCTTGTTCGTGGCCCAGTGTGCCTTTAGGGCACGCAGTAGGGTGCCATGCTGACTGACCCGTTTGCAGGCCTTGAGAAGAGCGCGAGAATTTGTGCGAACTGCTTGGCGGAAGCCGCCCGTGATGAGCTCACCAGGGATGTATGTGCTGCGCCAGACCTGCCTGGTCGCGTACAGCAGGTCGCGCGCCCAGGGCACATCCCGCATCAGGGCGGCCTCGAACATGTCCCACACTCGTTCAGGAGCAGACACACATAGCTGCACGACCAGTCTGCATCTCGCCACAAGAAGGGCCTCTGTTGGCGAAGTCACAGGCACAAGCACCTCCAGGGCTTTCTGGCATGCGTGGTGCCCCTCCTGCCAGGTTTGCCACACTTTCCTCCTAATACGATGGAGGAAACTTTCCATCGGTTTGAGGCTGTTGCGACCTGGCGCAAGGGAAGTGGCCAGGCAAGCATAAGTGGCCGGTAGGATTCGGCCTGCAATCCATCCTTCCCTGATTCTCCATGGAAGGCGCGACCTGGTGAGCAACGGCCCAGCAGCGACTTCAGCTCCCCTGCCACGGCCAATGGCTTGCTCAATATCTCGCCTGCCATTGTCTCGGGGCAACTGCGGAACACCAAGATATTTGTATTCGGGAGCAATCCTTATGGCTTTAGCATCCAATTGGACGATGGCATCCCCTTGCAGCAGCGTTCCTCATAGACCCTCGTGGCGCTGGCCTCCGTCTTCCCAGCCGACACATTGACCCGGAGTCGGAACTGTTGAAAGACCTCAAGCGTAATGCTGCCCATGCATCGCAAGGTCGAGGGCAGGAGCCCCGCCTCTGGCACATCAGCGAGCAAGACGAGGTCATCTGCCCATGCAATGGGGCATGGCTCCTCTACCTCATCAGCACAGGCAACCGCGAGGTTGTGGTGAGCAACGCCATGTTTCCCCAACTCATTGCTAAGACAGGCAATGATGCAGGTCATGATCGCTCCGAAGAGGACGTCAGCCAATCCATCGCCCGGACGGCTGCCCCGTGAGGCCAAGACCGGCAATCTATCTCCACGCAGCAGCCAACTGGAGCCGCTGACACAGTCTTGCAGCAGCGCCCGGTCAGCGGCATCCAACCCCAACTGCCCAAGGGCGCCACCGTCCAAGAGATGTTGGGCCCAGGGAAGGATTTGGTCAACACGCGGCTGCAGTTGTCGCGAATCCCCGAAAAGGAGCTCCCGGTCAACCTCATAGAAAGCGGCCTGCACGTCCACGAAAAGAGCAATCAAGGAGTGCTGGGCTGCCAGGGTAAGGCCTGCTGCAGCTCGGTAGGCAGTGAGAGCATATCCCACATGCATGCCAGGGCGTCCTCCGAGCTGGAGCGGCTGATAGGCGTTGACCACCTTCCGACCTATTGTGTTGCGGATGTGGCCATGCCAAATTTTCGCCACGCCGTTAAGGAGAACAATGGAGCGATAATTGCTGGGGATCGCTGCCGGCCCTTTCTTGTAAAGGGCGCACGCAAGAGCGTGCTTGAAGCCAGATGGCTCCTTTCCTCGCAAAGTAATCTTCGCGTGCAGTTGCCAAAGCCAGCGGCTGGCAAGGGCGGGTTGGTGAGACCATACCCCGTTTCTAATGCCATCCGGCCCTGGAGCTTTAGTAGGGCGCTGTCGTCGGCAGAGATGCTCCACTTCCAGTAGCGACGGCAAAGCCTCAGGGCAGGGGCATCCTGGCTTTTCCTGCCACGCCAAGTGGAAGTCATCAAGCTGCTGAGGGGTCACCACTCGTCCCTGCTCCTGCTCCCTGAACTGTTCGCGTAACTCGGCTTGGATGTTGTAGCCACCAGCGGAGTGCACCTTCCTGCGTTCCGCTGCACGCCTGGAAGCCCATTTGAGATGCATCAGGGCATGATCCACCCGGCCATGGACGTGCCATGCCGAAATAGCGCCAGACAAGAGGGAGTGCAAGTGAACTGTTTTATCGCGTTGCCCCAGACGGTGCAGGCGCCGGCACATGCCCGCCTCGCGTCTCGAGAGGATCGCCACTTGACGCCATGTTTCGAGGCGTCGAAGCTGTCGGCGTCTACCCTTCCACGCCTGCCAACATTGTCTCAGCCATGCTAGCCGAGCTCGGGCCTTGGCCTGGACCTTGTCCTGTCTCAGCTGCTTGAGGGAGCACAGGAGTCGCCAAGCCTCCTCACTGAGATAGGGTTGCTTGGGATGCGCTCGGGGTCTGCGAGGCAATTGTCGGCAGAGAGCCTGATATCTCGCAACAAATGTCTCGACTTGAACTTGAGGGGGCAGGGATAGTGTCTCCGTCCATGATCCAACCGAGCCCCACAGGGCTGGAGCCATTCGAGCGCATTCTGTGGGTGTGCACAGCCGAGGCGCCCGCTCGACTGTAGGCGCCGCGAGGGTCAAGGTCCCCTCCGCCATAAGTGGCATGTGGTCACGTGGGCCTAGGAGCACATCGAAGTCCGGAAACGGTCGCGTCATGGAGATGTTCCAAGCTTCTTCGGAAATCAGGATGTGATCCAGGCGTTTGCGCAGCCCGCTGGAGTGCTGCCACGTCCAGGTGTGCCCTTGATGTATATGTGAGAAGGTAGACACTGCGACCAGGCACGCTTCTCGACAAATGTGAGCAAGTTTGTCATCCCCAACTCTAGGCTCATGAACGGAAACCAAGGTGCCAATGTTGTGGCCATTCGTATCAGCAACTGCAAAGTCCGCATTTGCATCAAGACCCAGCCAAATGGCTGCCGTAGGGGGCAATCTAGCCAAGCGTGTCCGCAAGTCACCCCAGAAGGCCACAATTTCGGAACGGGGGCGATCTGCATGTGGCGCATGTGCCGACAGAATGCAGATAGGCACAGGTAACCGCATTGATTGGATGATCAGCAGGCGGGGGGCAGAGTGCACTATCGTCCAAGCATCAAGAGTTGAGCAGCCGGGCACCCAGCTGTCCCTAACCCAGATTTCACAGCCGTATTGGCCGGCCTTGTCCGCGCCGGAGCGCCACGTGAGGAAGTTGCCGGACATCCACCTCCCTGCACGAGAGCGGCATTCTTGGAGAGTGGCGACGTCGACCTTCAGATGGTCTAACTGCTTGACCAAGTAGGCCCGTCGTTGTCCTGTGCCGGCTTTATTGAAGAAATGCGGGACGACATCCTTCAAGGTTTGGACATTCGCCTGAATGACGCGGGAGAAGATTGTAACCGGCGAGGGGGACCCCGTCTCACTTACATCCGGCTCGCCTGGTGTGTCTGGGATGCCCGAGTTGGGCGGCGGGTCAGGCGCAACCACGACACGAAGAACGAGGCAAGTGCTGGTAAGTAGTGTCCCATATGGCACAAGCCACAGGTGCTGGGCGTGTTTCACCCAGTGATCCGAAAACTGGGGGGGCTCTCTGCCCCTATCCGGTCCACTAGGTCCACCAGCCGCGGCTAGGCCAGCCAAGCTATCAGCCAGCTCATTGACGATATACCCCGCGTGACCTGGCACATGTACGAGGTCGGTGCTAACCCGTGATTGAAGGGCCTGCCAGGCCACTCTGGCATCTTTTGCCCATACGGAGGAGGCAGTTGCATGGCCTGCAGCCACCATGAGGGCGGCCTGGTTGTCGACTGCAGCCACAACCCGTGAGGGCACACCTCCCCAAGCAGCCCGGTTGGCATCCACCCATACGGATGCCCAAAGAGCTGCTGTTTGAAGTGCCATAAGCTCAGCAACATAGGAGCGTAGAACGGGGGGAACCTCAGATGGGAGCCCAGCTGCGTGCAACTTGCCATGTTCCCAGCCGACTCTGAACCAGGAACCACGGAAAGCGGCCCACGCGGTGAAAGCCCAGGCCCCAGAACCGGCCCCCGACCCATCCGTGGCCAGAAGGAGCTGATCCGGGACACCATGGGTCCATTTCGGGTATGCATCCCACGCAGCCCGCAGGTGAGGGCGGACCGCACTAGGGAGGTCCAGTGGCAGGTCCTCAGCCATCCAGTATTCATAAAGGAACTCCTGTAGTTGCCCGACGGGTGTAAGGTCCGCCTCCCAGATCCGATCTTCGCTCTGGCGCCAAACCAGTTCCGGTGCTCCGCGAGGGCAGAGGTAACAGCTCCAGCATTGCGTGAAAATCTGCCTGGCATCCCAATAGGCGTATGGGGTGGAACTTTGGCATCGGCTTAGCGGTCCTACAAGGCCCGCAGCCGAGAGGTTAGCCCTGTAGCCTTGCCCTCTCCACTGTGCTTCGGAAGGGACAGTGATCTGAAGCTTGCCATGGGGCACACCCCCAGCTTGGCATTGCGTGAGGACGTAGAGGACAGCAGCAATGCCGATCCACCCGGAAGGCGCACCAGTAGCACGGCATAAAACCCACCTACCAAGAAGCAGAGTCAGCCAGAAAGGTCGGGCTTGCAACTCCGTAGTCGACTGCCCCGCGTACGGAACGGAGGGCTCGATGATATCGCCATCCCGGAGTGAGATTTCAGACGGAGCCAACCCGGCGACCCCGCGCACCAGATGGGAGTTGTCGAGGGTGTCCATGGCCCGGACTGAAACCCTCTGGCAGATTGGGCTAGCACCCCAGAAGATAACATGAGCATAGAGATGGCTCGGGCTACGTAAACACAGATGAAGCCCAGGTGCGGGGATCCATGGCACAGGTGCCCATTGCTCCCCTTGTCCTACCCAGTCGCCCGCGAAGCAACAGGCAGCAGGCTTCCACGTGAACCCAACAGGTGTGTCCACGGTGCGCGCCGGTGCTCCTGGGCGCCACATGGTGACTCGCCCAGTTTGCGAAATGACAAATGGGAGCTGCCAGAGAGCGTGGTGGCGGGCCTGGGATGGCGTTAGATGTATGGGCATGGCCGGAGGGACCCGATAGTTAGCCATTGGCCTCGCACAAATGAGGTCTCCATGTCGGAGACGGGTGTTGGAAGAAGAAAGAAAGGAAGGCGCGGCTGTGAGGGGCCCCGCATAGTCCGTACCGATCCCGAGGGCGTCAGGAACTAGTCGGCATGGCATATCCCGCAACAGTAATCGCGCTTGCACCTCTCCGCCTTTGACAACCGCAACGCACAGAAGGGGGGGCGGGGGGCAGGGTACGAGATGTAGAGCTCCCATGCTCAGTGCTGGCCAGACAGGGACAAGAGGTTCCGGCCAGTCCTGCATGGTGGCTCGCACCAGTTGGTAGATGTCCTGCTGTGGCATATGCGGATGTGGCCGCAAAGGAGCCGCCGCCCCCATAACGGGGCACAGTGTTTGGATCCATGGAAAGCCGCCCAAGTTGACCGTGTGTTCGGCAGGACGCCATCTAGGCGAGGTTGGGTGATGGACCAAGCCGACCTCAACGACCCGTGGCTTCAGTGTTTTGTAGGCACCGCTCCTGGAGGGCGACCTTGACCGCCTGGCGGGAGGCTGTCCTGACTCACTGGAGCTAGAGCTACATTCAAGTTCCATGGCTGGGGAAACCCATAGAAGGGGCAAGAGAAGCACTATTTCCTGGCCCTGCCCAACTGGCCAATGTCCCCACCCTCCTGAGATTAGAAGGTACAGCCCTATGCTTAGGGTTAGGCTGCGACGTTCACTGGAGCGGGCCGAGGGCAGTGCCCTTACGGCACAACCCTCTCGCAGGACATCTCCATCCCTAAGATGAACCGGGTCAGTAAGTTGTGTTGCGGAAGATGTGTTGTACGTACGCACGATCCGCACAGGTAGGGGTCCGGACGCACAGATTGTTGCTAGGGCAGTGTATCAGTATGTGTGCATGGAAGGCGTCACGGCAGCGCAGGCACAGATGTATGCCTTGACCCCATGCCCAAGGAGCGATGACCCATTGGCCTCTAGCCCCCAACTCCGGGAAACTGTCGAAGGTCTGGGAGTGCGGCAACCATCTCGACCCAGCTGGGACCTCGATGACACTCGGACTGTTTCCGGGCTGCCATATGGTGCATTCAAAGGTGAAGGGTATGACTAAGAACCGTTGCCAAAGAGTGTCATGTCTGAGGGAGGCGAGGGATTCCACCGTGACCTCCCCCCCTCTTCGGGCGGAGCCTGCTTGTCCCAGGGGAGAGGCGTAGAAAACGTCACCACTACGCATGTGGAGTGTAGCCTGCACCTCGCTCTCTAGTTCAGAGGATGGCATTGGCTCAAGCAGCGCCTCGAGAGGCGGGGGTGGAAAGAGCTGCCCAAAGGCCTGCGGTGCTCGGTGACTTATAGCTTCCTGCACCCACTCCAGCCGAGCAACTTGCGGGATGCACAGGCTCAGCCTCCATGTTGACGCCACCACAACCACACAAACCAAGGAGTTGTCCGGTGGAACTGGGACGAGGGTCAAGGTGTTGGCGACAGTGTTGGGCCAAACTGGCACTAGTTGGTGCCCCCATCTAGGTTCCTCAGCATATAAGAGGCGCACTAGCCATGACCAGTCGCAGCTTCGGCTAATTTCGTGCGTGTCCCCCATGCCCCGAAAGGGGCTGAGCAGGTGCACCAGGATGGGCCCCGTCTCAGAGAGACTGCTAACCGTCCGCGCAGGGATGGCCACATGCCATGGAAATGCCCCTACCCGAACAGGTTCCGCGGCCTGGCGAAGCGTCATGGGCCTGACTAGTGTAGGGGTTAAGTGCATAACGATCACACTTGAAAGGAGGGAGACCCTCCAACCCGATGAGACCCCCAAGGCAATGCTGAACAGCCACCGGCCCAAGTGCCGTGAAGGTGAGGCATCAGTTTCTGGGACTAATTTCCAATGGACAGCTTCAATGTCAGGTGGCGCGCCATCCAACACAACAGAGCTATGGCAAGAAGAAGGCAGCCCGGCCAGAAGGGCCATCTCCGCCACAGCAGGCGGGGTGCATGAACACATGCGTAGGCACATGGCCAGGCTGTTGCGTCGCCATACCAGATGTGTGGCAGCGCTTGGCGCCTGCGTCCTTAAAATTTCCATGGAGAGTGCTCTGTGATTCGGAAAGCCCCCGCGGGCTTTATCCAGGTCCCTGGTATTGCCGTGTCGCCAACAAGACATGTGGGGGACGTGTTCTGGAGCTAGGTTTTGACTGGTCATCATCGCCCCGGCAGGGCCAGGTAGCCCCACCGCAAGAATGAACAAGGCACAGAGGTAGCCTCGTGGGCAAGCTAGAAGTAGCTGGAGAACCCAAGAAAGCCTTAGGCTCCGGGGACAGCCAGCTAGGGAGATCTCAATGTCTTCAAGCTGAGCCTGTGGACAGACCCAAAAGGGGACGCAGTCTCCGTCTCTGAAAGGCACAGTGGGTTGAGCCTGTACGCCCACAGGGGGCGGGATGAGGCCCACCGTACCAAGGATGCAGTAGTTGCGTAGCCATTCAGCGGGGCATTGTCTGGGGAGCTTCCTTGGCCACAACATCCCATCCCACCATAACACAACAGACGCTCGGTCGGACTCCGGCTCACAGGTAGTCAGGTGGATGGCGCTTCGGGTGGGCTGTGGTGACAACGGTATGACAGCATCGACCTGGGCTTGTCTTCTCCAAATTTCGGAGATGTCATATAGCTCATTAAGACAATCTTCGGTGAGCAGAAACCGACCTGTTAGCGGCTGCCTTGGCACAGCCGGGGAGTGAATGAGGAACTTCCCTGCAGTCCTCTGCCAGGAGGGTGATTCCTCGACGCGTCTGCCTCCAGCTCGAGCCTGCCACACAGTACTGAGCTGAGCCTGCAGGGCTCCGTGCTGCTCTGGGGAGGCATCCCTCACGGACCATGACAGGGTATTGCCGTACAGCGGTAGCGTGACATTGCAATGGGCGTGTTCGGTATGCCCCCCCCCTGGACTCGATGCTCCTGTAGCACTAACGAGAGCCTGTTCTACTCCGACAGGTGCCGGCGGCGCTTCTACCCCACAGGTCAGGAGGTTACCGAGAAGAAGCATCACCCAAAGGCCACGCCGGTGCACCAGTGAGAGGAGAAGTAGCGGGGTACGATACCCTGCAGAGGCCTGAGGTTCCGACCGAGCGCTGCTTCCATGTTCAGCCCCGTCTGGCAGGGTGACCGGGCCTTGTGGAGAGATGCCCAGGGTTGTCGTGCTGACAGGCACTCCGCTCTCTGCGCTACATTGAGGGTGGAATGCGTAGCCCTGGGTCCGCGGTCGCAGCAGTCGTAGAACTTCCCCAAGCTGGTGGGTAGCCGCCTCCCAAGCGAGAAGAGAGGTGTTATTAGGGGGCAGCGAGAGGGGAGTTTGACAAGAGCTGTGTGCGACTGCCGGGGATGTAGCCTCACTTCGTCCCGCCGTGGCCGTCAGGAAAGCCGGTCCTTCCGGGCGCAGAGAAATCTGGCCACCGGGCCCAGTGAGGAGAGTGTCTCCCCAGTCACTGCGGACAATCTCAGGCAGTTCTTCTTCTTCACCCCAGGGATTGAGGTAGCGCATCGGGCTGCGCGATGGTGTATGCTCCCCAATTGCCAGAAGCTGTCCGTGTCGGAGACCACTCACGATGGTGCCGAAACGAAAAATCTGTTTGTCGAGGACCAGGACAAACTTTTGTGCAAGCGGCTGTTCTAGGGTGAAGACAGATGTGGCCCACTGGAACAGGGCATCCCAGTCCAATGGGTTAGACCGACTCTCGAAGACTGCCGCCTGCCTATGCCACTGCATGAGCAAGTAAGTGTATGTCCCCACTCTAGTCCTAGGCACATATAGCCAGTGCTGAACCCCTTGTATCAGGGGGGGGGAGACTTCCAGAAGCTTCCCATCATTATCAAGCTGCCTAGGGAGATGGGCCCGAACAAGAACTAGACGAGCATCTGTGACCGTCCGTGCTGTCGTCGGAAGGTCCACAGGCTCAGGCAGTCCGAAGGTCCAGACTCTGCGGGGATGACTGGCTGGAATAGTCTGCCCGCTCACAGGCTGCACGACTATGATAGTGGCCAGCATGACCGGCGCCAAGCGCCAGCAAGCAGACGTCGAAAACATCATCAGTCCAGTGCCAGCTAAGGCGCCATACCAGTTAGGGACGCTGCGTCCAATCGCTGCCCGCTTACCCGGGAGAAGCTCTGGCCGGAGGTCGGCCTGACCTCCGCAAATCAGACGATGTGCCTGACCTCCTTCATCAATCGTGACCAATTGTTCCGAGATGTCCGGCAGCTGACAGACGGGTCTGAGCAGCTCACGGTGACTGCCATCTCGCAATATCCACCAAGCTCCAGAGGCCGGCGGGGTGCAAAGCAAGTCAATGGCATCTGGGCCAGAGTCATGCGCGAGGTGGAACACATCACGGGTAGGCCGGCATCCCTGCTCACGCAACCAGGTACTCAGATTGTCAAGGTCAACTTGTTGTCGGAACTGGTAAACGGCCGGACCCCTACAGGGGCGCCATATCCGCAAGAGGGTACCCTCTGCCGGTGGGTGCTGGAGGAAGCAGTTAAGCACATCAACGAAAAGGAGGAACCCAGGAGGAGGGACACACATGAGAGGCGGACGTGCAGCAGTAGGGTCGACTGGCACTACCATGGCCATAGCAGCGTTGACAAGAAGTGCAATAGGTAGCCAACGGCCGGTGCAAGGTGCACTAGCAGTCCAAGCAACTAGTTGAGCCCACTTAGCAAGCCTCATGCCACCGCATGAGCTCCTTGCTTGCAGCGGTGAGGGCGGAAGAGTGTGCTCACTCTCCACATAGCAGCGGGAATCCTTGTTCGGAGTGCGCCGGAGAAGCGTGCCGCAGGCGTGCCCAAGATGAGTAATGGGTTCTGGCCACATCCAGCGGAACCCATCAAGGACAACGGCCACCCCTTGCAAGTCCAAGACTGAGAGATCTGCTACGGTGGCTACCTCAGCCCAGGAGGTTTGATCAGTACAGGCCGTCCTAATTTCATCTCCAATGATGAGAGCCCATGGCATCCTCCGGCTAGGACAGGGTACCACACAGCTGGTCTGGATCGAACCACAGTACACAACATGCAAGGTGCCTTCGTCGGGGATACCCAGGGTCGGGATGCATGGGTCAGCGAGCGAGGAATCCAGGGAAGAAATCTGACTACTCCTGGCTTCCTGGGGACCCGGCATGGATGCCATCCCCTGCGCTCCCATGTGTGGCGCAGAAGAGAGGGAGTCTGTGCGGCTATGCGACAGCAGCAGTCGCATGTCAACGCTAGCTGTCACAATCTCAGCTACAACAGCCTCATTATCGGCAGAGTGCAAGGATTCGGAGGGCCCCCAAAGGAGAAACATTTCCGTTGCCCGGAGCCATATTGTAGCCGTGGCTCCCGGTAGCTCACGCAGCGCGTAGAGAAGGTCAGCGCGGTTTGGGAACACCCCTTCCACGGCGAATGCCACACCGTGTGGAACACATTCGTGACAGTCATGCAACCAGACAAGGGTGCACATCCCACCTCTAGGGGCCGCGAGAAGAATAGGACCCGGAAGGCCTAAAAGATATGGCGGCACATCGAGCAGATGGGTAGTTTCGGGGTTTGGCGACCGAAGAGTGTGCAGCATATCCATGGCAGTGTCACGTGCTGTCACGCCTTGCACGCGTGGCAGCCAAAGATGTGGTTGGCCGGCTTGCAGCAAGGGAAAGACCTGCCTGCCTATAGTGCGCGTCCAAGAGCACCCTACTGGCATCGTCAGAGAGAGAGTGCTAATATCCAGAAGTGTGGGTGAAGCTGATTGAAAGGTATCAACAACCACACAGACATCGCCATGCCGCATGCGCCCCCGGTGCGCACAGTCAATGCGGTAGGAATGGGTACCATCCGAGCTTTCCACCCATGCATGAATATCAGCTGCAGGATTGCGCCAGTCAACATCGAGGCATTTCCACGATCCTGCCCGTGCCACCAGAATGGTGCTATGCGTGTCTGCACTGGAGATAGCGACCATATGCACAGCTCTATGGTCCGGTGTCGCGGCAGCAGGCAGGACGACATACCTGCCTAGGGCGGATACAGTCTCAAGGAGGTCAGCGTGCACATCAAACCACGGCCATTGCGCCGGGTAGCACCGGGTAAGGACCCTCCCAGGGTGCCACAGCTTGAATGTGACTTCACGTGGGTCGTCATTGCCGAGGGGGCTAGGACTGATAACGGGCGTGAGAAGCCTGCCAGAGGCCAGCAGCTCTCGCTGAATTGCCGCATGGGTGGCCTGCGAGGCCTTGTTGGGCAGGTTGCAGGGGGGAGCTGGCACCCGCTGTAACCGTCCACTGCGATGTGGTGGGGCACTAGCAGCGCGTCCTGCAAGTGCTTGGCTGGCACCTACCACAAGCAGTAGGCACATAGAGCCGACAGGTCCCCGTAGCGGCGCTGCTGCAATGAGTAGGGCTTTTGCCAAGGAGGCTCCCCGCGAGGCAGCATTTTCAGAGTCACTCCCAATGGGCACCTCGACTAGTGTGTGTCGATAAGCTCGTAGCAGATCAAAGCCAGCCACGTCAAGCATGACATCAGGCCCGACGGCTTGATCATGGAGCAAACAGATATAATCTCCAGACATCACATGTTCATGCATGGCTGCCGTGTCCAGGATGCGAGCATGGTCTCTCGCAGTGACGTCGAGGATTTGGCTGCACGATATGTATCTGGGTACTGTGAGAGTAAGCAGTCCAAGGTCCAATGCACGGAGGTCAACTACCAAGGAATGCCTTCCGAGTTCCTCACGGCGGAAGGCTAGGAACTGCGTCGGCGGCAGGTCAGTAAGCGCATACCGCATGCGGCGCATAGTCAGGGAAGCGAGCTCAGGGAATTCGCCACGCAGGAAGCGGAAGGTCTCGCTATCAGGAGCAAAGGCCGGCGTGAGTGCATGTATGATACCATTAGCAGTGATGATAACGCAGGACAGGAGGTTCTGGCTGGGGGGGCCCTGATTGCTGTGCATGTCCGCATAAGGGGAGTGGGCACTGGCTTCAATCAGCCGCTGTTTGAGCGCAATCGGCGTCCAAACAATCGCGTCACAGCGTGGCTGCAAGAGAGGTTGGGAATCGGCCACAAAAGTA